ATTATCGGAATCTCGGTATCTCAATTACTGTGTGAAGATTCTTAAAGGTATTGAGAACCCTAATGCGTTCTCTTGGAATGTGACGATCAGAGGTTTCTCTGAGAGCGAGAATCCTAAAGATGCGGTTTTGGCCTATAAGCAGATGCTGAGACGTGGTTGTTGTGAGTCCAGACCGGATCATTTCACTTACCCGGTTTTGTTCAAGGTTTGTGCTGATCTTAGGTTGAATAGTTTAGGTCACATGATTCTTGGGCATGTTTTTAAGCTGAGATTGGAATTGGTTAGTCATGTGCATAATGCGTCTATTCATATGTTTGCTTCTTGTGGTGAAATGGAAAATGCGAGGAAGGTGTTCGATGAAAGTCCTGTGAGGGATTTGGTTTCTTGGAATTGTTTGATTAATGGGTATAAGAAGATTGGGGAGGGAGAGAAGGCGATAGAGGTATATAAGGTGATGGAATCTGAAGGAGTTAAGCCGGATGATGTGACGATGATTGGGTTGGTTTCTTCGTGTGCAATGTTGGGTGATTTGAATCGTGGGAAAGAGTTTTATGAATACGTAAAAGCAAATGGACTGAGAATGACAATTCCTCTTGCTAATGCTTTGATGGATATGTTTTCAAAATGCGGAGATATTCACGAGGCGCGAAGAATATTTGATAACTTGGAAAAGAGAACAATTGTGTCGTGGACTACGATGATTTCAGGATATGCTAGATGTGGTTTGCTTGATGTTTCAAGGAAGCTTTTTGATGATATGGAAGAAAAGGATGTTGTGATGTGGAATGCCATGATCGGTGGATCAGTCCAAGCCAAGCGTTCTCAAGACGCTTTGGCATTGTTCCAGGAGATGCAAACAAGTAACACAGATCCTGATGAAATCACCATGATACATTGCCTATCTGCGTGTTCTCAGCTTGGTGCTCTTGATGTTGGCATTTGGATTCATCGTTACATCGAGAAACACAGTCTTAGTCTCAATGTTGCGCTAGGAACTTCATTGGTCGACATGTACGCCAAATGTGGTAACATCTCAGAAGCTCTCTGTGTTTTTCACGGAATTCAAACAAGAAACTCGCTTACATACACAGCCATAATCGGAGGTTTAGCCCTTCACGGAGATGCATCTACTGCTATATCATACTTTAACGAAATGATTGATGCAGGGATAGCCCCAGACGAAATCACTTTCATAGGGTTATTATCAGCTTGTTGCCATGGTGGAATGATCCAAACCGGCCGTGATTATTTCTCTCAGATGAAGTCTAGATTTAACCTAAATCCTCAATTGAAACATTACTCTATAATGGTTGATCTTCTAGGGAGAGCCGGGCTATTGGAAGAAGCGGACAAGCTCATGGAAAGTATGCCAATGGAGGCAGATGCTGCGGTTTGGGGAGCTTTATTATTCGGTTGCAGGATGCACGGAAATGTTAAGTTGGGAGAGAAAGCGGCTAAGAAGCTTCTCGAACTTGATCCCAGTGATAGCGGGATCTATGTGTTGTTGGATGGCATGTATGGAGAGGCTAATATGTGGGAAGATGCAAAGAGAGCGAGGAGGATGATGAACGAGAGAGGTGTAGAGAAGATTCCTGGTTGTAGTTCCATTGAGGTTAACGGAATTGTCTCTGAATTCATCGTTAGAGATAAATCAAGACCGGAATCTGAGAAAATCTATGATTGCTTACATTGTCTTGGAACACATATGGGGAGATCGTTGAGTGTACTATATTCGGAAATGAGGTTACTTAGAAGTTAGAAACAATGGGATTGAATGAAAAAATGCTGAATTTTATTTAGGCATCTTTGGTCTAATATAGAATGGGTTTGAGAGAAAAAAAAAAGAGAAAGAAAGACTCAAATGACATAGCTCTTGTGTATTAATAATATTAATTGACCAGTTTAATAAAAATATAAATTTTATTTTGTAAAATTTTACCTTTTGTGGTTTTTGTTGTTAGCTTACTTTTATTTATTAATATTATACATACTTAGACTTGACACTGAAAAAAATAGTTCCCAAACTGACCAGCTGAAACAAACAATAGAGGATTTTGGCTATTTGAGACTTTGAATTTTTACTTCTTTTATTCTCTCTTTAAAAAAATTCTTGACTAATTTTTTGTACCATTTAATTATTAATACATTATATATAAGAAAAACCAAGGTAAAAGATTTTCTGCCTTGGAAACAATGATGAAAGTGAAGGAAGATGTTGAGGATTGGTTTGCAGCTCAAGTGGTGGAAGGTGAAAGGAAGGTCTTAGCGGATCAAGAGGCCCTCTCGGCTGCGTCTCTGGTGCCCCTATCCCCTGCAGCTCGATGGGTTCCTCCACCCCTAGAGTGGGTTAAGTGTAATGTTGGGTTGCCTTGGTCTAGAAGAAATAGTTTGGCAGGAGTGGCGTGGGTTTTAAGGAGTGATTTGCGCAATATTTTGCTGCATAGTAGACGAGCTTTCACTAATATCAACTCATTGGTGGAGGCTCATTTCCTCAGCATTGTCTGGGCTGTTGAAAATATGGTTAGCCATAGAATTAACAGAGTTATTTTTGGTGTGGAATCTGCAGTTTTGGTAGGTGTGATGACCATACCACAAGTTTGGCCTTCCTTCAAGTATCAGTCTTCAGAGATAATGGAGGTATTAAAGGTGGTTGCAGATTGGAGAGTGTGTATGGAATCGGTGGCTTCGAATAGAGGTGCTAATCTCATTTCTCAAAGTGTGACTAAGGAGTGCCGGCTTCAATAAGTTTTCCTTCTTGGCTCTTTGATGTCTTTAGGGATGAGAGACTTCTAACCTCTGTGGGCTGAATGCCTTTCTGATTTTGACTCCTTGATCTTTTGGGAGTTATATTCTTTTGTTTGTTGTCCTACTGTATTTTTATTTCATGATTGACCTTTAGATATGTGCTTCTTGCCCTTTGCCCCATTTTTTGGAATGACTTTCCTCAAGTTAGTTGTAAATTCTCAATCTTTGATATAATTCCAGTTGACAACAAAAAAAATATTAAAAAAAAACCATATTTAATGAATTAAAATGTGGGTCAGTATTTATTGAGATCCTCTCTTCTATTGGTTTGGTGAACCTCAAATACAATGACCTCCATGTGCGTTCCATTTCCTGATTTCGATATCTATAGGTTTCTTTAGGAAACTAGATACCTTCGGTGTCCTATATATATTCCCTTCGTTTCAAAATATAAGACGTTTTAGTTAAAAGTACGCCGATTATGAAGATCTACTTTTTAAAAGTTCAGCCAATCATAAAAGAGACTGCATAATAAAAATAATCATAAAATATTAATAATATATAATTTGCATAGAAACTTGAAAACGACTTATATTGTGAAACAAAAAATTTTATCCAAAACACCTTATATTTTAAAACTGAGAGAGTATATAATTATGACTGTTTCTTCTCCGAAGTGTAATAAATTTTGCATATTATAAAAAAATTGAAAAATTGACAACTAAAGATGGGGACAACATAATCTCTTAAAAACGGCAACGTATCAGTACCTTTTAGAGTTTCAGAACGCAAGGTCATGATGATGACGACTTTCTTAGTGTCAGTCACTTTTAGAGTTTCAGATAATTTCTTGTTTGGTTGCAAAAAAATATGAACCAATGGCTCAAAATTGTTGCCTCCCTTTGTCACAACAGTTCTCTTATCTCAAGACACCCACTCACTATTATATTTTTTTTACTAAAGTTTCACTCTTTTAATAAAACACAAAATTATCGTGTCAAAAACTTGTTTTTTTCTCGTTGATATTTGTTTTATTTTATATTTTCTACATTTTTTATTTTGTATTACAGATTGACGATATAAAAAAAAACAAAGTTATACTCCTACTAGTTAACTTTTTTAAAATTATATTGACCTTAGTAGATGTTGCCTTCATCATGTTAGGTGTGTTTCAAACACCTCTAACCACAATTATTTCACTATTTTACAGAGTTACATATGGAGTACTTATTTGGTTTATTGTGATAATATTATCAACAATTTGTTCAGAAAATTAAAATTATAAAAAGGTAAATTATTTTAATTTTTAGCTTTATCATTAAATTATCAGCCGTAGCGTAACTATAGCATTGATCATCACAACCACACTGATCACACTAAACAATAAAAGATGCATGTTTTCTTTTTGTAAATATATATAGTTTGAATTATTTGGCCAACCCAACGCAAATGTGAAGATAAGGTTTTGAATGCTTTTTACAAAGTCAAAAAGTGTCTTGACTCTACGTTAGGTTTAACATCAAGGAGTTGAATCATTCATTCAATTTCTTCATGACCTTTAAAAGTCTATCAATACATGTGTGTTACATCATTCACTCAATTTCTTCATGACCTTTAAAAGCCTATCAATACATGTGTGTTACACTATTTGATTATAAACATTGACCAGGATTAATGTTTGATTCTAGATCATTCGCATTTCATAAATACTTCTATTTTCCCCATTATTGTCATCAAAAGTATTAACTATAGCATTATTGTCTTGAAAACGTTACATAAACATAATTGTTGTACAAATATTTAACTAGTTGTTGAATACAATAACAAAAATCTAACTATCCATAATATAAAAAAATAATTACTAGTACTAGTTTTCATCGAAACATAAATGATGTTTTAACAATTTCAACGCATTTAAAAAGTTACAAAAAGAAAATTGGCTCTTGAATTTCGGTTTTTTGTACATTATTTAATTTTCATTAGGATCAAACTAAATATTTTCATGTTAATATTTATACATTTTAAGTCATCACTTATTTTAAGTAAGAAAATAGATAAGACGATATTTATTTCCAAACGGAAAGAGTACTTATTAATTCAAAAACATATTTGCAAATACGGATTTATGAATTTTATTAAACAATTACCTGCAAAAGTTTCACACCTCTATAATTATCAAGTAATCCTTTTATCTTCTTTTTATTTGCCAGCTAATATACACCTAAAAAATTACCAAATATTACTTCAAACTCATTATTAAATAGTTTCACAAGCCCATATTTTTACCAAATACTACATTTAATCCCCCATTGGGACCAATTCTATAATTAGGAAATTTATTTATTTTCATTTATTAAATCAATAAATAAAAAAGATAGAAATTGGAAAGCCCACCACCACACTTGCACAAATTCCATCTATAAACAACACAAAGCCTTTAGTATCATTCTCGAAAACCACCAAAAACCTCTTTATTAACCAACAAACAAAGTCTCTTCTTCTTCTTCAATCACTGAAACACAACACCAAAAAAGAAAAGAAAAAAGTATGTCTCTTCTTCCCCATCTCATCCTCTACCTAACACTCTTCACGGTGGCTGTTACCGGAGAAACTCTCCGGCCAAGATTCTACAGAGAAACATGCCCTGAAGCTGAATCCATAGTAAGAAAAGAAATGAAGAAAGCTATGATCAAAGAAGCAAGAAGCGTCGCTTCCGTCATGCGTTTCCAATTTCACGACTGTTTCGTCAATGTAATCACAATTGAATCTTTCTCTCTGTTCTTGATTTTTTTTTACTCTGTTTTTTTTTCTCTGAATTTTCTTTGAATCATCAAATTCAGGGATGTGACGCATCTCTGTTGCTTGACGACACACCAAACATGCTTGGTGAGAAACTATCACTTTCCAACATCGATTCTTTAAGATCTTTCGAAGTCGTTGACGACATTAAAGAAGCTTTAGAGAAAGCTTGTCCTGCTACTGTTTCTTGTGCCGATATTGTTATCATGGCCGCTCGTGACGCCGTTGCTCTTGTAAGTCAATTTCAATTTTTTCCCGGTTTAATGATTGATTTCCGGTTTTGTAATTTTGGTTTTTGGAAACCAGACAGGAGGACCAGATTGGGAAGTGAAGCTAGGAAGGAGAGATAGTTTAACAGCGAGTCAAAAAGATTCCGATGATATAATGCCAAGTCCAAGAGCCAACGCAACTTTCTTGATTGATCTCTTCGAAAGATTCAATCTTTCTGTGAAAGACATGGTGGCTTTATCAGGGTCACACTCAATTGGTCAAGGTCGGTGTTTTTCAATCATGTTCAGGCTTTATAACCAATCCGGTTCTGGTAAACCGGATCCAGCTCTCGAACCGAGTTACCGTAAGAAGCTTGACAAGCTTTGTCCTTTGGGTGGAGACGAGAATGTGACTGGAGATCTAGATGCAACACCTCAGGTTTTTGATAATCAGTACTTTAAAGACTTGGTTTCAGGGAGAGGGTTTCTTAACTCTGATCAGACTTTGTACACGAATCGAGTGACGAGAGAGTATGTGAAGATGTTTAGTGAGGATCAAGGTGAGTTCTTTAGGGCTTTTGAAGAAGGGATGGTGAAGTTGGGTGATTTGCAATCTGGAAGACCTGGTGAGATTAGGTTTAATTGTAGGGTTGTTAATAGAAGGCCTATTGATGTATTGCTTGTATCTTGAAGAATTAGTAGCGAGAAAAGAGAGAAATATTAATTATGACTTCTAATAGTTGCAAATCTTCTACCACTTGCCGATTTTTGCTTCTCCAAAGTTGATTTTGATTATTGAATAATGGGCACAGCTAAAGCTGCAATATGGTCACACCAGTCTATAAAATTGGAAACATTGTCAAGTTGTTGAACAAACATATGGACAAGAACCAACATTGTAATTCTGAGATACACATAAAAAAAGAAGCTTAAATGTAGATATGAATAGAACTTTCCTCTAAACAATCAAAATGTTTCAATAGCCTCTGCATACCTTGCAAAAACTCTTCTTGCCTGCAGCTATGAATACAAGTTTCAATTACATCAACTCATCGAAAAATAGGGTGTCGAAAAGGTAGCTAATTTCAATAGCATTTGTATGATGTTATTCTATTATGCGGAAGCACTAACCGGAATACATACCTTGGCCGGTTTAGTGACGAATTTGTCACGGAATCGACTGAGAATTGATGCAGAGATCGGGGTTGAGATCAAGAACGGAAATCAACCACAAACCACCGTTCAAGTGCCCTTCCGGTTGATCTCTCAAAGCTTTCTCTTTAGAATTATCTTTGTGTCAATAGGCACAAAGTTATGTTTTATGTCTCTCTACAATCATCATTTTATATGCAAAGGAAGAGAAGCCACATAAAGACACCAATTGAGAAATAACTTCCTCAAAACTAAACCGGTTCGGTATGCTGCCAAACCATGGGCGCAAACCGACCATAAACCAACATACCAGTACTACAAAGAACACAAATACTCAATTTACTACCATTCCCCAAGATATGAACCTATACAACAATTATGGATGACTAAAATTCAAAGATGTCATTGCCTAACTTAGTGAAACAGCTGAGAAAGATATAGTTAAATTAAAGCCCAATTAAAACCGCCGGTGAGATCTGACCGTCTAATTATTCCGGTTTACTTTTAAACCGATTTCGTGGTCATAAAAGTTAGGAGGACTCTTTTCCTTCTTCTCCATTGTTGAAAATCAGGTTTTTGAAGATTCAGTGAGAGATCAGATCGCTAAAGGTTTGTTGAATTAGGGTTCTCAGATTCTCTCTATCTCTTTCGTTTAATTTTGGATTCGAATCGCTAAAAGGTTTCGATTTTGTTGTGTAGAAATGGATTGGCAAGGACAGAAACTGGTGGAGCAGCTGATGCAGATCTTACTTGTGATCTCCGGCGTCGTTGCGGTGGTTGTTGGCTACACAACGGAATCATTCAGGACGATGATGCTAATCTACGCCGGTGGTGTTGTTCTCACGACTTTGGTCACTGTACCTAATTGGCCTTTCTACAATCTTCATCCTCTCAAATGGTTAGATCCGAGTGAGGCCGAGAAGTATCCTAAACCAGAAGTTGTTGCTGTTGCTTCGAAGAAGAAATTCTCTAAGAAATAGGTCTGAATCTCTATCTCTATCCTATATATCGGAATTGTTTCTTGTGAGAGATATATGGATCGGAATCTTTAATTATGAATTGAATTTTCTGGGTTTGATTCTTATTATCTCTGTTCTTTGCCAAAGGAATTTGCTTTTTGAATCTGTGGTACATTATGTCTTGTTCGTGTAATCTGGCAATTAAACTTAGTTATGTAGATGTTCAGCAGAGAGTTTTGAATCACCAAAGTCTCGATTTTTATGAAGATGGTGCATAAATATGACACATGCTGGTCTTTGATGCTTTGTTCCTACTGGTTTTCTTGAGTCTTAAGTGTTTTCTAAGTAGATATAGATAGCCTATGGACAGCGGATTTCACGAGTTTGGATTCCGGGAGATTCGGGAATCGGATGGGTAAGCACGGCTGGTTTTAAGGTAGTGAGCACAAACTATCAGGATAGATATTTTGTCAATGCTTATAATGAACGATGTGGTGGGTAAATTGCTTTGTTGGAAACTAAGACTCGCTTGAGAATCAACTATCTCAAGAAGTGCTGCTATCAGACGTCACCTCTGCCCAAACCATATCCAACAGTCGGAGAAGGAAGGTACGAGTGTGATTTCTGCTGAATCATAAACTTCCTGGAAGTAGGATAAAGATTGTGAAAGAACTGAGTCAATGGTAACTGGTAAGTCATAGTCTTCTAAAAGCAAAACAATAGTTGAATCAGGTGTGTTGATATCAGTTAACGCGTCCGGGAGCGGAATCCGAGTTGATAGGCCCAGCATATGGCTGAATGCTTGTAAGTGAGCTGTTAAGGAAAAAGGGAAAATGACTTAGATCAGCAATAGAAAGAAGCAGAGCATGTAAAGTCTTATGTCACCAAAAGGATGAAACAGAGAGTGAGAGCTTTCCGGAAGCAGCGATAGCCAGAATCTACATGGTATCGCAACAAAATACATCATGTGGATAAATAATAGTGGAAAATACAGTGATTGTAAGAAACTAGTCAACTCTATAGACAAAAATACAAGTTATGACAAACTTACCAATGATCAAGATAAGAGGTTTCCGTGTGAATTGCGTTTAAAGGTTTTGAACCTGAAAAGGATATTACTAGTAACAAAGTACGACAAGAAAGTTTGGGAAACATATACAAAACATTGGAAGTCTTTCCTGTTTGATTCTTCATTGGACATTGGAAGTCTTTTCTGTTTGATTTGTCTTTTCTATTTGGATCTTATTTGAGCTTAGCAGCCTATTAATAAAAATGAAAGGGCCTGTTCAAAGCCCATCAAGTCATTGTTTTTACTTATTTAACTTCATCCACGCGTATTCGATAAAACAATCAACACATTTCTTTGTTTTCTAAAGGTTTTTGTCACAAGAAGTTTTTCACAAGACTGGATTTATTTAGGAAAATTGTTAAAAATACTCTTTTAGGTGTTTCCCTTTTCAAAAATGTCTCTTTTAGATGTCCATTTTCAAAAATGCCCCTTTTTAAATCTGAAATTTTTATAAAGTTTTATTAGGTTTATAAGGTACTTATTGTAACTACTACTTGAAGACTCGATCCAAGTATTTATAAGGTTTTATAAGGTGTTTTTAAAAGTTTTACAAGTTATTTTAAAGGATTTTTAAGATTTTTCAAAGGTTTTACAAGATATTTTAAAGATTTTTAAAGGTATTTAAAATGCATTTATAAGGTATTTATAAAGTATTTATAAGTTTGTGTATGTTTTAATAATATTACATACATATTTGGGTAAATCTTATATTTTTAAGAGCATTTTTATAAAGTTTTTAAAAAAAGATATTTTTGAAAAGTGACATTGAAAAAGTGGCATTTTTGCAAAAGCCCCTATTTATTTACTGGATACAATATAATACTGTATATACTTCTACAAATTTATTTGCATAGAAAAAAATATATATTAGAAGACACGTTTACTAGAATCTAGATCCGTGTTTAACGTAGATTTTCTATTGTGCTCTTCTAAATAATAGTATTAGAAGACTCACTAAGTCACTATGCTGCATTCACTGAGACATCGACCATCGAAGCATTTTTGGGGATTGGCGAATATATTTATATGCTTATCCTAACTTCGATTAAAATGATAAGTTGGGAATTTTTTTTGTAACACTTTGCATATTTGATAATTTTTCCCACATTTTTTTCCATTAAACAAAAGTTTTAAATTCTACTATTTAAATCAAAATAAATTGAGGTGGAAAAGTCAAAATAATCAACGGCTAGAAAAGAGAGATCTTGGCGTGGCGTGTGGGAAGTGGGAACTGTGGATGGAGACAGCAAGTAAGTAGCATTCTCAAGCACGAGACATCGCCGCTCACAGACAAATCCTCACCGGAGCGAGAGCGACTCTTCTTCTTTCATCTTTTTTTTTTTAATAAACATATTCGTTGTTAAAAAAGATAGTCAATGGAGTGCATTTATCGTTTGTAATAAGATATTTATAATAAAATCCCTAAAAACGTTATACACTATAAACTAATTAAAAAAAATTTAACCGAAAAAAACTTTCAAATAACTAATTACGTCTAACTCTAAGTCTCTAACCCAAGTTTTTTTTTTTATCACATTCTATCTTGTTGTGTAATTTATTATTAAGACATCTTTATATTTTAATCTCAGTATTTAATCTGTAATGGATTTACAAAACAAAACCAAAAAAAAACGAAAAACCTGTTATTAAATCCCAAAATGTGTTAACATTGATGATTATATATAAAAAATTGATAAAAACAAAATTTATTAAACATTGTATTAATGTACCTCGATTTTTTCTACTTGGATTAAGTCTACATATAAAGTAACTCCTTGTGTGCATATGTGAAGACACACGCATATGATAAAGTTTTCTTTTTTTGTTAGCCAGCAATAAAGTTTTCTTTTTGGCCAAAAATGTTTTTTTATTAAAAGGCCGAATTTTTTGACTTTGAATATCTGCAACAAAAAAAAAGATAGGTCCCATTAATTGCTGACTCGTTCTATTCCCTCTGGACCACTTGCAAAAACCGACACGTGTCATATCATTCGAGACAAACATTATACTTAGCTGATCTTTTAAGCCGATACGAGCCGTATAAGCTGTCTCCTTCAATGGGTCTTACTAATTGTATTTAATTTTCTATTACTTAAATTTTGTGATTAATCATTTTTTTGTATTTAACTTAATTTGGGTTGTATTTTAAATAACAAAAAACAAAAATTACAGTTTTTAACGAAAATTGACTGTAAATTAACTAATTTAGAGAAAATTTGCAATATGTCTAAATTTCCTAAATTAGAAAATTTTCAGAGCTAGAGCCTTGAAAGAGACCATTCTTAACGATCACATCTCAAATTAAATTATGATAAATTAATGTGAGTTCAAAGCTGTATCTCTTTATCTTTGAATAAAATATACAATCATCTTTGAAATTTAGGACCCTATGCTTTTTAATATTATATGATAATTAGTTGATATATTGAAATGGAAATGTTTCACCATCAATGCCATTGGTATAGTATTTCTTAGTGAGATTTTGATTTTCTAAAAGGGCCCTCGAAAACACGGGTGTCTAAAAATATTTGGAAAATAAAACAAAAGTTATTCTGCAAATAAGTACACTAAAGTGTCACTTTTTTTTATTTAACTAGAATATAGCATAGTGGGAAATTAGTAATTAAGTGAATATTATCCATGTTGTAATGAAGGTCTTTTTACTAATTCTATAAATGAACATATTTGTTGGTAAAAAGCTTTCGCCAAGTTTATTGGAATAAAACACATGAGCTAAAACTCAAGTGATCAAGTACTTCACACATACTATATTCATATATAATAAAATGAAGTGATAACCCCAAAACTGAAACGAATTTACGTCTTTAACACTAAATCTAATATCATTATAAGTCTGGCTTGAGTTCAAACATAACAAGCTCGAGCTTCCGGCATCAGTTTGAATATAGTGTTTGCAATGAAAACCTCGTTAGATTGATGGTAAAATCCTTAACCCCTGATATTGAGGTATAAGTTTCGAACTTTTCAACTTTCAAGCATCATTTTCTTACTCAAATTTTTTTTTTGCTGTGCAGCCTCCAAATATTTAATACCGGCTCTGATCAAATAAACCAAATCCTGTTTTCAAAATCAAACCAAGAGATTGCTGATTTATTTAAGATGTAAAAAGTTATGCATAACACAATATATTACTATGTAACATGTCAAATAACTATATAGTATTTATCAAAAAAACTATATTGTATTTTAGGGCATTTTTGAATATATCTCGTTAGATATATATATATAAGGGGTTACATACTTTTTTTTTTTTTTGGGAATGAAATAAGGGGTTACATACTTAATATCAAGACAAACCATGATTTTTATTTACATACTTACATTATCATGTATATTTTTTTCAGAAATCTACGTTTTGAGCGTGATCACGTCTTCTTCAGAAAATCATATTAACAGTATAAATTTGACATATACGTTGTCCGCTGACGTGGTGGATTCAAGTTTCCCGTTCTTTTCAATAACCAAGTTGTTGTTTTTTTGTGTATGTAAAAAAGTCTTTGTAGTAGCTACTTAACAACGTATTCTCTTGCTGCGATTTTATATTTCATTAAATTAAGTTTAGTTATACGTACTTAGATTTAGTCTCTTATACAACAGTTAAAAAAATGAAAAGCAAATTCTTATATCTTTACTAATTTAGTTCCATATACGTATACTTTACTGTACCTCGATCTGTTGGGCTATTTTGGTTAAAAATTTATAATGGGCTTCTCCAACGAAAGGAGTCAAAATTAAGTATGGGAGTGTCGACAAAAAAAATTACGTATGAGTAGATATCATTTTTTTTTAATAATAACATTATAGTATATGCTTGTTTCCTGAAATTTCTTATGATGTGAATTAAATAAAACCATGCAAAAGCATGAATCACGTAGAAACAATAGCTGGTGGATTGAAATGAAATATACTTTATTGGTTCTTTTTTAGGTGCTACTAATTAACTATATAAGCCATGAAAACCTACAAAATGATCATTATAACTTTTATTTAAATAATCAAATCTAAGATGCTTTGCTATTAAAATATGAAAAAGGGTTCATAGAGATCCTACGATTCTCAGTGTTATTTGCCGAGAGAAAGTGAAACACATAACGCAAGTGTTCGCCACCTAAAACTTAAAAGTGAATTAAAAATAACTTTACACTAGAAAATCAGCAAATATAAATCATAAAAAAATAACTAAAGCATATCGAAAACCAAGACAGAATAAAGAAATTAATCGGTTACATTAAAACCGGTTTAGGGCTTGTAGGTTAAGAAAATATAAAATTCATAAACAATTTTCGATAGTTTTGGTTTAAAATATCTATTTTTAGTTTACATTTCTTTTTTTTGTATACCCCTACCTTGAGGTCTGCTTGTATAGTTGTATTCATATGCTATATTTTTAATATATACATTTTAAAATGTCGAGTAGGCAAAACTTTAATCAAGATTTTTAGTGGATCCCTTTCCTGCTAATTAAAGTTATATATAAACTCGATCCAACTTTTAGTCTTAGCACAACAATGCCACCAACGAGGAGTTAATTTTCATTTTTCACCATGATATAAGTAATACAAATAATTGCATGAAACACAATTTTTGCGAAGAATAGCTTAGACAATTTTCATAAACTCCTAAGGTTTAGTTTAGATGGAGCGCATCTATAAAATTCGAAGACGAATTTTTTCTCGGCCGGCGTGACCTGATGCAACGAGATATTTAGAATATTTTTAAATATCTATTTCTAATATTTTTTAATTTATTAATTATAAACATTTTAGAATATTCTATCGATTTTAGGGTTTTATGTTTTATTATAAATAGTATTCTTTGGTCTCCTATTGTATTTAGTTGTTATTAAATTGATTAATCGAAAGATTTTAAAGAGGTTTTGATAAACTACTGTAAAAAGTATTCACAACCCAAAAGTTTTTACGAAAACTTTGAGAAAAAAACTCTCAAACCCTAGTTTCCGAACATTTTCAAAATCAAGGGATCTAGTTATATCCTTAGTTACTTCCGCTTCATCAAGTTTTAACTTCTTGACATGAAATATAAAGTAAGAGCTGATTCCTATATTCTAACATATGATGGTGATGTCTAGAATTGCATGAAATATTTTACAAAAATCTGAATAAAATAAGGAATTTACAACTTTTTTATATTAGAGTCAATGAAGAATTTTTTTCGGACAAAAAGATTGTGATGTTCGTATTTTTTTACTTTTTAGTTGATTTACTCTATAAATTACATTATACCTAAGAACACTTTTGTTTAACATACAAAATGAACTATGTTCTAAATAAAATATTAAAATTATTTCTCATGTAAAGATTCCGAAATCTCATGCATCAACTATTAAACTTCATTTTTAGTATAAATACATACAAAAGTATTGATCTACGTCAACAGTAGTAGAGTGTAGTCTGTTTTCTTCGTTTTGTATGACGTGTCGAACAATGAGTGGATAAATAAAGTGGTGAAATGGACGGCTGTGAATAGTTAGATTAGTTGAGCTGTCGATGATCGGAGCGATAAGCAAGAGGGGACCGTACACGTGCCTATCATCCTCCTCCTGCGATGTTTATTTTATTTTTATCTAAATTATAATCAAATAAATTAATACATAAAATATATTAAAATGTAACATTACAAACGTGATAGTGACAAATGGCTACGAAGAAAACGACATCTTCTTGATGCGTTTAAGGTCCCACGTCACATGGGTATGTGGGCCCCCTATATTTCTCATTTAGTTTTCGTATAAAGAAAGAAGCTACAGTGTGGGCCCTTCTTTTGGCAATTTGTCAGTATACAACAAAAAGGAAATTTATTTTATTATTATTATTATTATTATTAACTTTATAGTAGTATATATCACAAAATTTAGAATCATATTTTCTCTTATTTTTGTATTTTATTTTTAGGTTTAAGTGTTTAACAATAGAGTAGCAGACTAGTAACAGTGGAGATGCTCAATCCGGATTTCGATTCGGTTCAGTATTTTTGGGTTTTGAGACTTTCGATTTATGAATGATGGTATCCAAATTAGAAGCTATTGTAACCACTTACTATAATTTAAATAGATTTATTTCGATTCAAATTTTGTTTACAGAAAAAAAAATAGATTTATTTCGATTCAAATTTAATTAAATATCTTTCATTTTTTTTAAAGTTGGTTTAGCTTATCTTTAGACTTAATTTTTGAATAAAGAAAAATTAAATCTATTTAAATTATATTAAGATATAGTTTGGTTTCCGGATTAAGTATTTCGGTTCAAAACGGATTAGTTTATCCAGATTGAACATCTTTAGTAAATAGTAACAAATAATCCACTTAAACTTGAAAATATTATCACTTATGTTATAAATTATAAGCAAACTTTTAAGCCGATTTGGCTTGTAGTCTAATATAGTTTTTAT